GCCGTGAGCCTTATCATACCTCTGCTTAAAGCTATGTATGGATCCTGCCTCCACTACATCGCTTCCCAAACTATTCCACTTACTGACTACTCTGTGGCTGAAGAAATACTTCCTAACATCCCTGTGATTCATCTGTGTCTTCAGCTTCCAACTGTGTCCCCTTGTTACTGTGTCCAATCTCTGGAACATCCTGTCTTTGTCCACCTTGTCAATTCCTCTCAGTATTTTGTATGTCGTTATCATGTCCCCCCTATCTCTCCTGTCCTCCAGGCCACCGGGCCACCAGGCCCGGTGGCCTGGTGGCTAAAGCTCCCGCTTCAAACACAGAGGGCCCGGGTTCGATTCCCGGCGGGTGGAAACATTCGACACGTTTCCTTACACCTGTTGTCCTGTTCACCTAGCAGCAAATAGGTACCTGGGTGTTAGTCGACTGGTGTGGGTCGCATCCTGGGGGACAAGATTAAGGACCCCAGTGGAAATAAGTTAGACAGTCCTCGATGACGCACTGACTTTCTTGGGTTATCCTGGGTGGCTAACCCTCCGGGGTTAAAAATCCGAACGAAATCTTATCTTATCTTATCTTCCCTTAACCTCTCCTCGTAGGACATACCTCTTAGCTCTGGGACTAGTCTTGTTGCAAACCTTTGCACTTTCTCTAGTTTCTTCACGTGCTTGGCTAGGTGTGGGTTCCAAACTGGTGCCGCATACTCCAATATGGGCCTAACGTACACGGTGTACAGGGTCCTGAATGATTCCTTATTAAGATGTCGGAATGCTGTTCTGAGGTTTGCTAGGCGCCCATATGCTGCAGCAGTTATTTGGTTGATGTGCGCTTCAGGAGATGTGCCTGGTGTTATACTCACCCCAAGATCTTTTTCCTTGAGTGAGGTTTGTAGTCTCTGACCCCCTAGACTGTACTCCGTCTGCGGCCTTCTTTGCCCTTCCCCAATCTTCATGACTTTGCACTTGGTGGGATTGAACTCCAGGAGCCAATTGCCGGACCAGGTCTGCAGCCTGTCCAGATCCCTTTGTAGTTCTGCCTGGTCTTCGATCGAGTGAATTCTTCTCATCAACTTCACGTCATCTGCAAACAGGGACACCTCAGAGTCGATTCCTTCCGTCATGTCGTTCACAAATACCAGAAACAGCACTGGTCCTAGGACTGACCCCTGTGGGACCCCGCTGGTCACAGGTGCCCACACTGACACCTCGCCACGTACCATGACTCGCTGCTGTCTTCCTGACAAGTATTCCCTGATCCATTGTAGTGCCTTCCCTGTTATCCCTGCTTGGTCCTCCAGTTTTTGCACCAATCTCTTGTGTGGAACTGTGTCAAACGCCTTCTTGCAGTCCAAGAAAATGCAATCCACCCACCCCTCTCTCTCTTGTCTTACTGCTGTCACCATGTCATAGAACTCCAGTAGGTTTGTGACAGGATTTCCCGTCCCTGAAACCATGTTGGCTGCTGTTGATGAGATCGTTCCTTTCTAGGTGTTCCACCACTCTTCTCCTGATAATCTTCTCCATGATTTTGCATACTATACATGTCAGTGACACTGGTCTGTAGTTTAATGCTTCATGTCTGTCTCCTTTTTTAAAGATTGGGACTACATTTGCTGTCTTCCATGCCTCAGGCAATCTCCCTGTTTCGATAGATGTATTGAATATTGTTGTTAGGGGTACACATAGCGCCTCTGCTCCCTCTCTCAATACCCATGGGGAGATGTTATCTGGCCCCATTGCCTTTGAGGTATCTAGCTCACTCAGAAGCCTCTTCACTTCTTCCTCGGTTGTGTGCACTGTGTCCAGCACTTGGTGGTGTGTCCCACCTCTCCGTCTTTCTGGAGTCCCTTCTGTCTCCTCTGTGAACACTTCTTTGAATCTCTTGTTGAGTTCTTCACATACTTCACGGTCATTTCTTGTTGTCTCTCCTCCTTCCTTCCTTAGCCTGATTACCTGGTCCCTGACTGTTGTTTTCCTCCTGATGTGGCTGTACAACAGTTTCGGGTCAGATTTGGCTTTCGCTGCTATGTCATTTTCATATTGTCTTTGGGCCTCCCTTCTTATCTGTGCATATTCGTTTCTGGCTCTACGACTGTTCTCCTTATTCTCCTGGGTCCTTTGCCTTCTATATTTCTTCCATTCCCTAGGACACTTGGTTTTTGCCTCCCTGCACCTTTGGGTAAACCATGGGCTCATCCTGGCTTTTTCATTATTCCTGTTACCCTTGGGTACAAACCTCTCCTCAGCCTCCTTGCATTTTGTTGCTACATATTCCATCATCTCATTAACTGGCTTCCCTGCCAGTTCTCTGTCCCACTGAACCCCGTTCAGGTAGTTCCTCATTCCTGTGTAGTCCCCTTTCTTGTAGTTTGGCTTAATTCGTCCTGGCCTTCCTGCTTCTCCCTCCACTTGTAGCTCTACTGTGTATTCGAAGCTTAAAACCACATGGTCACTGGCCCCAAGGGGTCTTTTCATATGTGTGTGTGTGTGTGTGTGTGTGTGTGTGTATGTGTGTGTGTGGTGTGTGTGTGTGTGTACGTGTGTGTGTTGTGTGTACGTGTGTGTGTGTGTGTGTACGTGTGTGTGTGTACGTTGTGTGTGTGTGTGTGTGTGTGTGTGTGTGTGTGTGTGTGTGTGTGTGTGTGTGTGTGCTCACCTAGTTGAGGTTGCGGGGGTCGAGTCCGAGCTCCTGGCCCCGCCTCTTCACTGATCGCTACTAGGTCACTCTCTCTGAACCGTGAGCTTTATCATACCTCTGCTTAAAGATATGTATGAATCCTGCCTCCACTACATCGCTTCCCAAACTATTCCATTTACTGACTACTCTGTGGCTGAAGAAATACTTCCTAAAATCCCTGTGATTCATCTGTGTCTTCAACTTCCAACTGTGTCCCCTTGTTACTGTGTCCAATCTCTGGAACATCCTGTCTTTATCCACCTTGTCAATTCCTCTCAGTATTTTGTATGTCGTTATCATGTCCCCCCTATCTCTCCTGTCCTCCAGTGTCGTCAGGTTGATTTCCCTTAACCTCTCCTCGTAGGACATACCTCTTAGCTCTGGGACTAGTCTTGTTGCAAACCTTTGCACTTTCTCTAGTTTCTTTACGTGCTTGGCTAGGTGTGGGTTCCAAACTGGTGCCGCATACTCCAATATGGGCCTAACGTACACTGTGTACAGGGTCCTGAACGATTCTTTATTAAGATGTCGGAATGCTGTTCTGAGGTTTGCTAGGCGCCCATATGCTGCAGCAGTTATTTGATTGATGTGCGCTTCAGGAGATGTGCCTGGTGTTATACTCACCCCAAGATCTTTTTCCTTGAGTGAGGTCTTCTTTGCCCTTCCCCAATCTTCATGACTTTGCGCTTGGTGGGATTGAACTCCAGGAGCCAATTGCTGGACCAGGTCTGCAGCCTGTCCAGATCCCTTTGTAGTTCTGCCTGGTCTTCGATCGAGTGAATTCTTCTCATCAACTTCACGTCATCTGCAAACAGGGACACCTCAGAGTCTATTCCTTCCGTCATGTCGTTCACAAATACCAGAAACAGCACTGGTCCTAGGACTGACCCCTGTGGGACCCCGCTGGTCACAGGTGCCCACTCTGACACCTCGCCACGTACCATGACTCGCTGCTGTCTTCCTGACAAGTATTCCCTGATCCATTGTAGTGCCTTCCCTGTTATCCCTGTTTGGTCCTCCAGTTGTTGCACCAATCTCTTGTGTGGAACTGTGTCAAACGCCTTCTTGCAGTCCAAGAATATGCAATCCACCCACCCCTCTCTCTCTTGTCTTACTGCTGTCACCATGTCATAGAACTCCAGTAGGTTTGTGACACAGGATTTCCCGTCCCTGAAACCATGTTGGCTGCTGTTGATGAGATCATTCCTTTCTAGGTGTTCCACCACTCTGTGTGTGTGTGTGTGTGTGTGTGTGTGTGTGTATGTGTGTGTGTGTGTGTGTGTGCTGTGTGTGTGTGGTGTGTGTGTGTGTGTGTGTGTGTGTGTGTGTGTGTGTGTGTGTGTGTGTGTGTGTGTGTGTGTCAGTGGTCCTTGACTGGCTTGATCATGTTCATGAAGGCGAAACGTGGCGATAAAAAATGTTTCCTTTTACTATATATTGGAGGTTTATAGGGCCACTGACAGCTTACGCCGTATCGTGTCCGGTCTTCTATCCGTTATATTCCCCTCAAGGAAGGTTCCTTGATGTTGGTGAGGGGCTCTTGATTTAGGGAATTGGATCTGTGCTCCAGTTCCCCGAATTAAGCCTGGATGCCTTCCACATCCCCCCCCAGGCGCTGTATAATCCTCCGGGTTTAGCGCTTCCCCCTTGATTATAATAATAATAATAATAATAATATCCGTTATATTATCTAGTTGGCAGCTGCGCCCTTCCCCAACTACCTGTGATGACCCACTTGTAGTGTCCCGTCTTAAGAGAATTTAAGAACATATTTGGAGTGAATATCATATAGGAGTTCAATTATTATTATTATTATTATTAATATGAATTCATAGGGACGCGCTAAACCCGTTGGGGTCATGAAGCGCCTTGGGGAATGGGAGGCTATTCATGTTCGATCCAAGGAAGGGGACGTCACAAAACAGATATAAGATTATTTCCCCACATTTAGTTATTTAAGAGGTGGGGCCAAGAGCTAGAGCTCATCCCTCCCTAGAAAGCGCAAATAATTACACACGCACACACACACACGACATCTATTCATGTATCTATAAATAGATAACTTCATACATAAACAATTGAGTAAACAAAGGATTATACGAGTCTAGCAAACACTCACTTGTTTCATGAATAACACCACAGTAATGTATAATGTATGAGGAGGCGCTGTACACCATATTATGACGACGTTTAATTACTAAGACTGTTAAGTGCTCTGATCATATCTCTGCACAATATTTGTGACCCAGATATATATAAACGTTCATGATTAGTGCCACGCTCGTTTGTCTTATGACCTCTAAATACCAGAAGTGCCAGGTGCCAGACCCTTCTTATATACTAAAGTATATTTGTCACGGTCTACTGTGTGTGAAATGGACAAACAAGTGAATTAAAGTTTCCATGTTCTTGTTAATATTATCATCAAAAAAAAACACTAAATGCTGTACATAAGAGTTATTCAGCACTAGCTTCTTTTAAAATATAACTACTGTTAGACAGAAGTGTAGTATTGAGAAATAACTCAAGAATAAACCGACAGGTGTGTATTTCTCACTGCATATATGCTTAGAGTTTACTTTAATCCCTGTTTCAGGGATCAAAGTAAATTATCTTGACTGGTGATGAACAGGTAACGTACAGTCTTAATGACCCTAGTATTGTCGGTACTTTAAGCCTAATTAACCAGTAACACTCACAGTTATATACTACACTGAGAGGTGTTTATCTCGATATATATACTGTAACGGTTTAATTCCCATTTTATGTATTAAAATATTCTTGGCTGAGAGTGAACAAGTTACATGCACCCTTAATGACAATCAAGTTATATTAAGGTTTTAAACTCATTACTGTTAAGATACAGTAACGATAATTGCTACCTAGTAACGAACGAGCACTATGGTAGAAACAACCACTGTTGAAACAGTAGCTGGTGACAAGGACGGTGAGCTAACCTGATCACCGAAGCCGTTGCCGTTGGACAGAAAGTCGGTGACAAGAGTGCCGTTGATGTTGGTCATGGAACCGGGGTAGGTGGCCCAGATCCCAGCGGTAGCCAAGCTGCGATGCGGTTCAAATGCGTCCAGGGCGTCTGTCAACAGGTGGGAGGGATATGGTCAGTCATATGAAGACGCAGACTCTCTCTGGCCATCTCTCTTGCTATATACAAGTCTTGAAATTCTCTCAAATTAATGCATGATTCTGTTTTTAAAGCTTTCTCCCGTTTATATCCATACTTTAAGAATGGGTGTTCCTACAAGTATTTTTTAAAAGCTGGGAGATATTGTTCTACCTCAGCTTCATAAATATAAGGTATAGGGCAAAGTTGAAGCCCTTGAGAACTAACTCTAATTTTATCAGTTGAAATAATAACTCGTCTGTTTCATTGTGAGTAAATATTCAGAACGGAATAGGGAATTCCCTTGATAAGGGCAACTACCATTCTTATACTTCCGATGGATACAATGAGTGTTCGACTGCATGCACGCAGATACACACTAAAACACCTCTTGTGTTAATATAAAATATCTATTAAATCCATAAAAAACGAGACGTCATAAAACCGTTGATCTTTTACTGTCCAAAAGCTGGTTTATCTGCTGCGTACGAAAACGCAAAAAATTTATGCTTTAAATTACAAAAAGTAGCATTCTGCTGACCTCTGATCCTGATAAAAAAAAACTTATGACCTTCAAACACTCTCACCGTGGCCCGAGATTACTTCGGGGTCGACAGTTTTTGAGCATAAATGCATGTTTCAGCTCTCTAAGACATTTATTATGTTGCTGCTATCAAGGGTATATACCGAGCCAGACACTGAATGTTTTCCAGTACTCGAGTACTTACTGAACCAGACACTGAATGTTTTCCAGTACTCGAGTACTTACTGAACCAGACACTGAATGTTTTCCAGTACTCGAGTACTTACTGAACCAGACACTGAATGTTTTCCAGTACTCGAGTACTTACTGAGCTAGACATTGAATATTTTCCAGTATTCGAGTACTTACTGAGCTAGACACTGAATGTTTTCCAGTACTCGAGCACTTACTGAACCAGACACTGAATGTTTTCCAGTACTTTCGAGTACTTACTGACTAGACAGTGAATATTTTCCAGTAACGAGTACTTAGAGCTAGACACTGAATGTTTTCCAGTACTCGAGTACTTACTTAGCTAGACATTGAATATTTTCCAGTACACGAGTACTTACTAAGCTAGACACTGAATGTTTTCCAACTCTTGAGTGCTTAGTTAGACACTGAATATTCTCGAGCTCTTGGGTGATTGTACTTACTGAACTAGACAGTGAATATTACAGCTCTTAAGTTCGCATATCTACTGAGCCAAGCTTACTGAATATGTTCCAGCTCACACTGTATGTAGCGAATTAAACACTTGAGTGAAAGAAGTTGTAATGGCGGATGTGGACATATTTTCCCAGGGAAGTTGATAAAATCACTGACGTAACCACTCGCAGGTAACCTACTGAAGAAGCAGAACACTGTTAAAATTTGATGTAAAGAGCATCCCAATAACCCGAACAGTGGAAAACAAAAGGCTTTCAGTAGACAGCGAATCACAAGGGAGCTGCGGCCCAAGACTGGGACCATGTAAACAGGTACTTTACTCCAGGGGTGTTTACCCCACACGGCCATGGCTAGGGTCACCGCTGGGTTAACGTGACCTCCGCTGACCCCGCCGCTCACCAGCACAGCCAGGGTCACTGCCAAGCCGTATCCCCAGTTGATGGCGAAGAAGCTACCCTTGACATTGTTGGTGAGCACAGCCTGTGCTACCGCAGCGTTCCCGAAAACCTGCAGAGGAAAACATGTCTTGTGAAATCTGGTTCACTCTCAACATACTATCATACATGGCTCACTCAGAATATTGTCATACATGACTCACCCTCAATATACTGTCATATATGAGTCACTCAGCATACTGCCATGCATAGCTTACACTAAAACATACTGTCATACATGGCTCACACTCTTCATGCTTCCTGCATATAATAAATAACAGTACCGTTTGATCAAGAACAGCCTAGTCACACGGCCTCCTGCTTGAGGGAAGTTAGCTGAAGTGTTCAAAACAGAGAATTTATGCAGTTTCACATGTTTTTCTCATTTACATATATATGTCGGGCCTAATTAAACTGAAGTGATCAATTAGGTCGAACTCCCTTGAAAATTTAACTTTTTCAAAATTTTCTTTTACAGATTGAGAGACATTTTCTTCATTGGAAATGATGTAGACATTTTTCTTTTTGGATCAAACCTGACTTAAAACCCGCCTAACCTCTCTTACCCTATTTTTTTAACCAAGTTCTACTAAATATACCATTTATCAGTTTATATTTATTTAATATATATATATATATATATATATATATATATATATATATATATATATATATATATATATATATATATATATATATATCATATTATTTATTTATATATCTATATATATATTTAAATATCGTTATGTTCAGATTGATTTTCACAGTTTTATTAAATAAAGCTTCACTACTTATTCTCACTTTCTATATTAATTAAAAGTAGCATTCTGATTGTATGGATAGCATCATTTTTCTATATTCTTTTTTAAATTAAAAAATGACAAGTGGAGAAACGTGTTAAAATTGTAGACTTGGTTGTGTTAGTGTGAAGCAGCAAGCGGTGAACGGTCAAGTTAACGTGTCCAGCAGAATACTCTTCAGCTGTTTATGTGTAATCAACAACAGTAAGTAAACAATATGTGGTGAATATTGTGTACTGATGTAGCAGCAAACACAGTACGTTAACATTTGAGGAGCAGAATGCCGAGGTATCATCCTGAGTTAACAACATCTTAATTGAGCAGTTAAACTGAAGTTATGCGCAGCTGCAGGTGGGAGAGTAAAGGAAGAGGAAATCTGGGCGTGGTTTACCTGGAGTTTACCTGGAAAGAGTTCCGGCGGCCCGGTCTGAGACCGGGCCGCCGGGAGTATAAGCAGGTAGGAGGAGATCTCGGCAGGGCGAATAAGAGGAAAAGGAAGATATATGGAAGAGTTGAATGGGAAAAAGGACCATATATGGGAGAGAACTATGGGAAAAAAGGAGGAGAATTAGTAGGAGAGGAAGGAACACAATTTCTACATATTAATAGTGATAGCTGTGAGGCTGTGGCTGAGAGTTTAGTGGTCTACGAGGCAGTGTTTACATTTTTATATGTGCAATACTTCTTTCTTTTTCTGTGCTGCAAATAATTAGTAAACTACTGTAGATACACGAATGTCTTCTTTCAGACCATTCTATTCACTCAGAGGCTATGGATCTCATACATTCACCAGAAGTGAATCGGAGGGAAGGGACAGGCATTTGGTGGTGAGTAAGAGACATCATTCACATTAATATCTCCGACCCGGTGCTCCGTATTCCTGTAGTAGATTTTTTCTCCTAAATTCAAGTTGATGGCGTTGGAACTGACAGGAGTACCAACACGAGTACTGTCAGCTAGATCAGTGTTTTTTTTCTCGCGGCAATGTGACCATGATTTGGTCAGGTTTAGAGATAGATCTAGATTCTTCCTAATATCTTTTATTTTCTTGATGTCCGCTAGCAGGGATTCTTCAGTGGCAGGTAGAGTGTGACTGTCAAGAACTAGATGTTGAGCTCGCCGGACAACTTTCCTGTGATTTATTTAATCAAGTAGAAAAGGGAGAGGCGCGAGGGGATCACCTTCCTGCTCACTGTCTCAGGAGTTAATCTCTTTTTCCACAAAGGGAAGTTTTGAGGCGCCACTGTAACACAGATGAATGGATAAATTGTAATCAAATGTTGATGAACGTCTCCTGAGAACAGCATCCCTTCTAAGTTAAAAGTGTTGGCAAAATCCACTTTAATCAGCACTTGGTTTTTATCTATTAAATTAACAATGTATGCCTGTGTTAAACGGGTTGCTGCCTCATAGGTATGTTACAGCCCAAAATCATGCTGAATTGGTTTCAGCACTGTGGCTCCATAGCGACTTACAATTAATTCTCACAGCAGCCCTAGTAACAAGACGGACGAAGTGAACAACAATGGATCTGATTCCTCTATTTTTTTTTCTTAGGGCAAGAGTAATGTACCAACATTAAGTGGCCTAATGGTCTTTAGAGATACCGCCAGCTACATTTGTAAATCTAATGTGCTCAGAAGAATCTCTGAGACATCAGCAAGTGTGTGTTGGAACCTTAAACTTGTGAAGCCACCTGCTGAGCCAGGTAGGACTGACAGGATCCTGTGATCCTGGCAGGGAGTCGGTCTTCTAAAACCATTTATTCAGACTGTCGATGTCAGGGTAGTTCTCTGGGCAGATGTGTTTATCCTGTAGAGGTCATGTTGTGGTTGGTACCCTAGGGGGAGGGGGATAATCATATTTCTCCAGTAGTATTCGTCTCTTCTATGTTATTTTGCTAATCTGTGGTGTTGATTTTAAAGGTTTTAGGTGTTCTTTTCATTTTATTTTTACGCCGGGAAAAGACAGATGAGATTTTTTATCTCTAGGAATTTATTTATTACCGAAATAACAGGTGTTGCCATTGACTTGTTTTTCCTGGTTGTTGGGATATTAAGACAGGTATTACCAAACAGCAAAACGTTGTGCAGTGATCCGGTAGTTGATGGGGCATCATTGACTTTTTTTTTTAAAGAAGTTAATGGATTTGGCAGCGTCTTGAGATGCAGACTAGTATGAGGATGCATGGCAGCGTACTAGCAGAGGTTAGCTTGATAGCAGCTTTTAAATCTTCTGTTGAGGTGAGCTGTAGGAGGCAGGTGGCGCCGTTGTGAGGGAATCTTAGCCTCAAGCAAATACGTTCAGAGGAGGCGTGTCTGTGAATTATAAATACATACACACACACACACACACACACACACACACACACACACACACACACACACACACACACCACACACACACCACACACACACACACACACACACATATATATATATATATATATATATATATATATATATATATATATATATATATATATATGGAACAACGGGGATATAGGACAGCCAGCAGAAAACATAATTTGCGTCTTTCAAACGCAAATTAGTAGTATTATGCTTAGCTGTTGTGTGACAGCCGTAGTGACGCACACAACAAGCAAGGGTATTATTAAATGAACTGCATTAAATAAAGTGGCATGAGTAGCATGTGGTACTAAATATACGAGTGACCTCCCTTAGCACGAGACCTTCAAGTTGAACAGCCTCGGTAATTAAAGTCATTCACTGTCTTTATTATACCTAAACTAAGGTCTGTAATAATTATTGGTCGCATTTGTCAACTATGCTACGCTGAGACCAGGATGCTTATCTTTACTAAGTTATCTCTACCATAGCTACGTTGTGAACTTGATACTCTACCATATCTACACTATGAACTAGTTACTCTACCATATCTACACTATGAACTAGTTACTCTACCATATCTACACTATGAACTAGTTACTCTACCATATCTACACTATGAACTAGTTACTCTACCATATCTACACTATGAACTAGTTACTCTACCATATCTACACTATGAACTAGTTACTCTACCATATCTACACTATGAACTAGTTACTCTACCATATCTTCACTATGAATTAGTTATTCTACCATATCTACACTTTGAATTAGTTACTCTACCATATCTTCACTATGAATTAGTTATTCTACCATATCTTCACTATGAATTAGTTACTCTACCATATCTACGCCTCAGTAGTTATGCAAGCTGCTTATGGGAGTGACTTAGTTAATGTCTCATCTAGATGTTAACTAGTGTAAGTTTCTTGTATCCTTTGTCTTCTCGTCGCTCTCCTGGCCAGTCTTCGACTGTACTTAGTAATAATAATAATAATAATAATAATAATAATAATAATAATAATGATTTGGGGGTGTTACTCTTGAGTGTCTATTACAAGAAATTCAACAGCTTTTACACGCCAAATTATCAGGGCAACAACAATGATAGAGAAAAAATACTGAGGATTATTTAAAAATGGTAATTATATCCTTAATTTTTAAAGGAGTGGACGGGTAAGCCAGCGGAAGGCCTCAGCTAGATGACAAGAAGCTCCAGCTGCGGGTCATCATATGACTAAGACCCGCGTCAGGAAACATGTCCTGTTTCCTGACAAACCTTACCTACCTTCCTATCTGAAGATTATATTCAAGAATGACAATATGAACGTTAGCATCATAGGTTCTTAAGAGTCAGAAATCTGTTGAGACTTTGGAAGGGAGGAGTTAACCCGGTCACGGGCTACCTAGGAGACAGGGCTGAGACTCAACCCATACAACCATATATAGTTGAGCAAAAATAGTGGCTACCTCTCTCGCCTTATTCTATCCTTGAAGGGTGCCTTGATGTTAACGAGGACTCTTGATCCAAAGATTTTTGAGCTACACTCTTCTTCCTCGAATGAAATCTGGTCATCTCCCATTGCCTTGGCGTTTCTTAGTAATATAATAATAATTAATAATAATAATAATAATAATAATAATAATAATAATAATAATAATATTATTATTATTATTATTATTATTATTATTATTATTATTATTATTATTATCAAACGACTGTTAATTGAAAACGTTATCTCTCTCTCTCTCTCTCTCTCTCTCTTTCTCTCTTCTCTCTCTCTCTCTCTCTCTCTCTCTCTCTCTCTCTCTCTCTCTCTCCTCTCTCTCTCTCTCCTCTCTCTTCAAAGTACCTGTCTTAATAATTTAGCCCCATGAATGGCAGGTAATGACAGGAAATGTTTAATTAAGGGGGGGGGATG